ATTTAATTAATTTTTCAAGTTCTGGAGTCCTTCAGAGTAAATTTGCAGTCACGCGCAGGACACCTAGCGTGTTGCCACACGCTTGCAGTAGATTACAAAGTCAGCTGAAATTAAAACGAGCCGTTGAAGTTTTCCCACTCACATTATAAAAAGGAATAGAAAAATTCTTAAGGCGAATCTTGGCAGTTGTACAATTCAGTGCAACTACAGGATGCTTTTATTCCTATTGCTCCCCGAGGAGATATGTATATGACTTTATGTCACAGAATAATTGCGATATGGAAGCAGGCTGGCACGCCCAGAAGCCACCAAGGAGGCTGCGTGCACGTAGGACCTGGCTGTGGCGAAGCGGCTGCAGCAATGCCAGCAGCTGGGAAAGCAGTTAGCGCGTGTTGCCCTCGCCTCACGTTTCGTTGCCTGCTTTCCCGAGTTGGCTGCTGGCGGCTCTCAGAGGTGGGATTTTGGTCTTCTGGATTCTGGCCCCTTGGAGACACTCTCGTGTTTATCCACACCAAGGCCGTTGTCAGGCACGGCAGCCCCGCCAGAGCTCTTCTGGGAAGCTGGTTGCTCAGCACAGCTATAGTCCTGAAATTTTTTTTTTTTTCCCCCCCATTCTTTTAAACGCTATTGCTTCTGTGTTGTTTATGTGTCTTAATCCATTTTCTCAATTAGGTTTCTGAAGAACTATATTTAATAAATGTGGGGGGGAACAATTCATGTTCCTCATGAGATCATATTACATCCTTATGGCATACATTTACAAATCCACTGAAGGCTTCCAGAACCTCTGTGAAAGTTTATTCTAAACTTTGTGCTTAGTGTAGCTGAAATTGGTGCAGCTCAAGAGATTGTCTTGTTTTACCTCTTTTTAAAGGATATGGAGGAGGATTTAATGAACGAGAGAATGTTGAATATATAGAACGCGAAGAATCAGACGGGGAGTATGATGAGGTGAGATTGGGTACATGTATTGCTCTGGAGAGACACGTATTGTGTGGTTTGTGTTTAGGATACACACATTTGCATTTGGTTTCCTTATGGAGAAAAGCGCTAGTCAGAAATACGTTGTGGTGCATCTCTTTGTCAAATGCTCAAGTGTGAAAGTTTTGAACTGAAAGTGAATGCATCTGTTTTGTCTTTTGGGGGGTTAAAAACTAAGAATGAGTTCAAATTAAACTGGTACAAGGTGAGTTCGTTAAACTTCTTAGGGAGCGTCATGCATGTTGTTTTCAGCCAGATGTTCGACATTGTTTTATGACACAAATATAGACACAATATAAAATACTCTTGTTAAATTCAGATTTCCATTAATCTTGTCCGTGGGTACTAATTGTATCTGAGACAAGCATCTCTTTAGAAAGTTTCTTCTTGCTAATTGATGTTTCATGATACTTCTCCTTCCCTTTGAGCAATACCCTATTTGAAATTGATGTATATTTATTTTCTCATAGAAGTTTTATCAAAAAAATACAGTTGGAAATTACTTTTGATTAAATCGTATTCTAATGGAATAAAATTTCTTAGTTTGGACGCAAAAAGAAAAAGTATAGAGGGAAGCCGGTTGGTCCTGCATCTATCCTGAAGGAAGTAGAAGATAAGGAATCTGAAGGGGAAGATGAGGAGGATGAGGATGAAGATCTCTCCAAATATAAATTGGATGAGGTAGCGTGTTTTGGTTGTCTTTATTCTAGCAATTATTTTTTAATTATTACTACAGTGCTGTTTAGTATTAGTAGGTAAGGTTTGGTCTGTATTTTTAGCTGCCTTTAGAGGAATGTAGAGGAGTAGCTATCAGAATAACGGCTACTACAGCTTCTGTAAAGTACGTACACAAGCTCTGTTTTGTTCTAAATACCTGCATTCAAAGATGTGTAATTTTTTTAAACCATAAAAAACTAAAGGCTTATCTGAGATCAGAATCAAAAAATTTTGAGATCTTTATTTGGAACCTTTATGTATGGTTACCATATAAAAGGAATGTTCTTGAATTTTATTCTTAGCCTTTTAAAACCATATCAGACTTATTTTTTATAAAATGGAACAAAATATTCAGAGATTTTTTTCATCTTTCCTGAAATACATGGTCATCACATATTGGATTGTCCACATCTTTGGACAACAGTCATGCAGACACATGCGTATATGCTTATTTTTAACACAGCAGTCACCAAATTCTGCAGAATGATGCTATTTTATAGATTTTGAGTCTGAAAACTCTTCCAGGCACTCATTTAAAGTAACTGGTAAAAATGAACGTCTGTATTTTCATTAACTTCATTAAATAACAGAAAATGGGACTTCAGATGGGTTTTTGCAGGTTTTTTAGTAGTTTGCTTTGAAACACAAATTTTCAGTCACTCTTTACTCCTAAAATTTTTGGATCTCATTAAATGCACTAACAACAGTATTTTTAAAAGTTGTAAAAAAGCACAAAATAAACCATAGAATAAGTAAAAAACACTTACTGAAGAAAACAATAAAAATACTTCCTACGTATTGTTTGTATATCTGCGTTTTTTCAGGATGAGGATGAAGATGATGCTGACCTTTCAAAATATAATCTTGATGCCAGTGAAGAAGAGGACACTAATAAGAAAAAGAAATCCAATAGGCGCAGTCGTTCTAAGTCTCGATCTTCCCACTCACGATCTTCATCGCGCTCATCCTCTCATTCAAGCTCAAGGTCTAGGTCCAGGTAAACGGGTACAGGTCAAGGGTAACGCCAGGCAAAATGTCAGTATCTAACTTCTTTATTTACTTTTTTTTCTTGATTGCCTTACAGTTTTAGTTTAATAATGTTAACAATTTTATGTACAGAATTTACACAGGTAGATAATGTTCTGTTCTGACCTTCTGTGGATCCTCAGTAGGGAGGCTTCATATGTCTTGTTGCTTGTTTTAGTAAATTTAAGTTGATATTTCAATTTAATCCTTCAAATAAATTTAAAAACATAACTTATTTTCAATTTTGTTTTCAGGCTTGTTGGCCATATATGATTCAATGGGTGAACTTTTTTTAGCAATGTTGAGTAGAGTTGTTGAACAGAGAAGCAGAAGAGTGGTATTGTTAAAGTGGGGGGCGGTGGAAGAGGGAGGTATTGTTAAAGTGGGAAGAGGGCAGTGATGATGCAGTTCAGACAGATTCAGTGAACAGACAGAATGGAAAATAACCTGGAAATAAAGGCAAGAAACTTGAACTTAGTTTGATGGCAAGCAACAAAGCTTCAAGTACAGCGGCAATGTTGTCAGAATAATACTCAAGGTTTATATTGATCCCGGGGCCACAAAAAAAGTCTACTGGGTAGATTTAAGATCTCTTATTTAAATTCAGTAATATATGAACAATTGAATACATGTTTTGTAATCATGTGATGTAAATCATGGTGTAGCTTTTTAGCTGCCTTACAACTAATACAAAGATGGTACTGATAGGTTTAAGACCTCAAATCGGTACTAGCTCATAGGGTTATACATAAAGTTCAAGTTTCTTCTAGTCTTTCTAGCTTTGTAACTGCACCTCTCTGCTCTCACCGCTGTGATCACTGCCCAAATTCTTCAGACCCTCATACTAACCAGATGTCAGCCACTGTCTGTTTTGTCTTTCTCCCCATTGCTGTCATGCTTTTTTTCGTGCTGCCTCTTCTATGAAAAATTACGTTCTTCACAATACCTATTGTCAGCCTCCCCACTCCTTCAAATGCTGTCTTGAGACGTGTATTTGCCACCTGGCTCCAAGGAGGAGCACTAAGTGAATAATAGTGACTAAGCTGACCGGCTGTCAGCGATTTTTATAAACGAAGCGAGGTGTGGAGCAAGGTCTTTGAGGAAGTGGCTGTATTGTCCTGCGTGAGGATAGTGTGCGGCCAGTATGGGCTGCATTTGAGTGCAATTCTTAGGTTTAGGGGTGGGAAGGTCAAAGAAGACAGAATAACTTCATTTGGCCATAACTTTGTTCGTTAATTCACAAATGTTAACAGTGAAGTAAAAAGTAGCTTGTCATAACTGAAATTTGCTAGGAATCTTTCAACTTTCTGTTGAACTTTTTGCTTCTAGCTACAGATAATTAATTGGAAATACTAGTTGCCATTTGTGGATACTTCTTTGTGTTTTTTAAAAAGGTTTAAATATATCTTCTAGTTAGCATATGTTCATACTGCTTTTGTTTTGCACAATAAGATGAAGAAGACATGGTAACAATATAAACTGGGAGACTGACAGGACGTATAATATATTTTTCCTGAAAAGATTATTAGAATTTGATTGCAATGCCTTCTTTTTACAACAGTTACTGCAAGTCCGCTACCATTTTTACGTACCTCTTGTGGTTTGTGCTTTAAAGAAAATCCATCAACATGAAAAATTCGAAAATAATTTTGACTAGTTCGAAGTAGTGTTAGATAAGTCTGTATTTTAGCCAAGAATTAACTACTACTTAATATTTAACGCAGTGGAAAATCTTTATGAAAACTTGAAACTGCTTATAAAATGCTTGTGAGAACTGACTTGGGGAAAATTTGAGCTAGCTAATCCTAATACTCTTATCTACTCTGCTTTTCAAAGAAACTGATGGTTTTCAAGTTAAGGCACAAATTAAAAGTTAAGGCATTGATTTCATGAAATAGTTAATTGATATGCAGTTGTTTCATTTTGCCAAATAACTGCAATCCTGTTTCATTTTTGTGCTTTGTTTTAGGAAACGTAATAAAAAAACCTGACTTTGTAAATTTTTGAATGTGCCATCTTGCTATGTTAAAGTTTCTGTTTTAAAATGTACTATGGTGATACTGGGAGCGTAGGGGGAAATTGTCACTTCTTTAGTGACTCTAGGCCCAATTGTATTGATGCATAGTTGTCTCTACTGCTAACAATAGCAGTCATTCTGGTAAATACAAGCCAGACACTGGAAAAAAAAAATCTTCCGTGTTGTTTCAGGTCCCATTCAAGAAGTTCTTCCAGTTCCAGATCAAGATCTCGTTCCAGTTCCAGAGAACACTCTAGATCTCGTGGGTCGAAATCAAGGTGAATGAGGTAGCACTCTCTCCTTGCAGAGAGAAAAAAGGGCAGAAGAACCAGCTGCTGGTTGATTTCATCATAAAATTATGCCGGTCAAAAAACATTAACTCATTTTTATCTTGGAAATCAGAATTCCTTGGGTCTCTGCGTGAGGTTGTTACCACTACAGATGTATTTCTTGAGAATGCAAGGTTTTGCTTGAAGAGTTTAAGTCTGATCTAAGCTAGACCAGTGGACGCCACAGATCTTCACTTTGAAGGAAGAAGAATTTGAATGCATGTTTGCTTTCTGCAATAATTTTTGCTGGTTTACTGTTTCCACTTTGGCTGCTTGATGTGGAAGAACATTAGAAAATACGCTATACTTCTGGTTTTGTGTTTAGTGATAACTTCTTTAACGTATCTAACTTCCACTAGATAGTGCTGCCATTATCTTTATAAATGTGGGGGGAATGTATAAAAATGTTGATAGTAAACCATGCGAAAAGCTGACAGGAGTTTGAGCTAGCTGACGTTTTCTGTATAGCAGTTACTGAACTGCGCAGGGAAGAGTAACAAAAGCATGTAAGTTCCGTGAGGTGTCCTTGCACAGGCATCCTGTTGGCAGGACTTCCCTTTTGCGATGGAATGAAGATCTGTGCCATCTCTGTGCATGCGGAAAATCTTAAAACTGTAAATAAGGAAGTTTGAGTTGGGAAGACCAATCACAAATGGTGCCACTACCCTTTGGTGGCAAAAACATGCTATGGATTATCCCATGAGCGTGAGCGCGGGATGGAATCCGTGCTTTTAGGAAGAGAAAAAGGGTGCCTGTGCCCCCACTAGACGCTGAAGGGACTCGTCAGCTGAGCTGGGTTATTTGCTTGTGCCACACAGCGTCCACCGCGTGTCCTCAGTGCTTGTGTGAAATAAGACTGCTTTATTATTTACAATGAGAACCCTGAAAATATTTTACCAACAACATACACTGTGGTGTTGGGTTTTTTTTAAATATCTTTAAATAGCTTGCTTAAAAAAATTCCTGTTAGGTGTTTTTATATAATTTTGGAATTACAGTTTAGGACTTTCTAGTTCTATTACTTTTTTCACAAGTGGTTTTTTTCTTGGTTTTTCTAGATAACCAAAGTGATTTTTGAGTGGTTGCAAGTGAAGCTGGTTAATTTTTTTTCTTGGTTTTTTTTAGAAAACCAAGGTGATTTTTGAGTGCTTGTAAGTGAGCTGGTTAATTTTTTTTTAAATGCCAAAACGACTGTATTCTAAGAGGGCTTTTTTTTAAATGTTTTGGTTGTGGAAGGTCTTACTCTTTACCCAAATTTATTTTGAGATTTGTAAATATACCTTCTGGGGGTTTTTACTATTCCAGTAAGATGAACACTACTTTACAAATTTCCGATGTGAAATATCCATTAATACGAAGTGAAGTATTCTTAAATCAGCATTGCATTTCAAGCCATTTTGCTTTGTGAATTTAACTGCTGAGGAAGGTCCTTATATAGGCTACTTCCTGTCCCAGTCTCCCATCGCTTCTTTATCAAAATGTATCATTCTGGTGAATGCTGGAAAGAAGTTTCCAAACCATTGGTGGTCTGTATATCAAGAAACGCTATTTAGCAAAATTTGTTAAGAGAACTACTGCGGCAGTAGAAGTCTTTATTGGCAGATAACTAAGGAGTAAGTATTAAAGCATCCACAAATTTCTTTGACAAAACACTGATGTAACTAGAGTAGTGAGTGTTCATGAAAACTGTCTCTTTTTATTCTTTCTTTGTTCTTTCTATATTATACCAGAATTAAATCTGATTTATTTCTTAATCAATAAAGATCCAGCTCCAGGTCCTACAGGGGGTCTTCCACCCCAAGAAAAAGATCTTACTCAAGCTCTCGTTCATCATCTTCCCCCGAGAGAAGCAAGAAGCGAAGTCGTTCTAGATCTTCTTCATCTGGTGATCGCAAAAAAAGACGATCGAGATCACGGTCACCCGAAAGGTTTGGGTTTATGTAGAATAAGAATGGGTGTATTTAAATGTGTGATTTTTTTTTTTTTTTTCTGAAGGACTGAGATTCACTGGGAAAGAATTGAATCTGATCAGTTATTCCGATATTAAAAGTAGTTTTCTCACTTCCCCTACTCTTACTTCCTATTAAAACCTCTGTAATTACTTCCCCCCCTCAATGAAATTTCCTCCTGCTAGAAGTATGTTCCATAGAAAGACCTGGGTCACCATTCTTTCAGTGTGTGAAAGTGTTAACGTGTACATTATTCATTTATTTTCATAAGTAAATATTGCATTTAGAAATTGTATTCTACTTCCAGTATTAAATTTACATTTTTAGTATTAAATTCACATTCATGAGCTTAAAGTGGTTTAAAGTTATTTCTATATTCATATAAGGCCCCTCAGATATACTTGGCTTCCAGCTATTATAGGATACAGACTACTCAAAGTGGATGCTAAAATTAATTTCAACTTATTTCTTTGCATGCTTTCTCCATTTATATCTTACAGACGCCGCAGATCATCATCTGGATCTTCCCATTCTGGTTCCCGTACAAGTTCTAAAAAGAAATAATGTATTAAAGCTCACATTTAAAAAAAAAAAAAAAAAGAAAAAAAAATTCCAGTCAGTGCATGAGACATTTTTAAGAAGTTGGTGTCTTACTTGGTCAGAAGTGCTAAATCTGCTAGTAGAGGTGCATGTCTGTCCTTGCTTTCTGGAAAACTGCAGCTTTGTTCATTCATGAAACAAAAAGTGAGGTAGCATTTTAAGCCATAAACTCCCCAGAGGAGGTGTGAAGTTTTATTATTTGAGTAAGGGGCGGGGAGGTAGTATTTTTAAAGACTCAGTTACTTGATTCCTGGCTGTCTTACGTGTACGAGCAGGCACAGGTTGGGTATGTTCTACTACAACTCTGCTCTTCATGTGACAATTACAAAGAAGTATCTGAGGAATACAGGAAGAACCCATGAGCTTTCTACATCCAACTCCTGAGCTTGTTTGATGTAGCTCGTATGGGACCATGAAAGATTAGCGTAGCTGTAGGGCTGGTGTTACCCATTGGATGACAGTAGCGAGCACTTAGGTCTAATTATTTTTTGTTCTTCTGTGTTGAAGTAAAAGTATAGATGGATGCCCCTCTCTCTCTTTAGCTATGCTCAGTGCAAAATAGCTATTAAATACCCAGTCCATCATACAATTCTGTAGAGAGTGAATCAGACTTCATTGTTTCGAAGCGAGGATGTTTGAGACATTGGGCACTACCCTCTCGATTGCTCGAGTCTCATAGCTGCCGGTGCCTGTCACTGGCAATCATTGGCTGCAGTCAGCAAAGTGCCCTCTCTGCAGTGGGTGCTGGCTATGGTATTTTCACATGCATGGACCCTGGACTCTGCGATCCTTTCTCATAGAAGGATCATTTAGGAACTACTCTTGAGATGGAGGAATATGGAACTAGCTTCTTGGAATCAAGTGAAGCTTCTACAGGCCGTCTGTAAAATTCATTTTGGGCTGACTAAAATTTTCAAGGTATCTGAATTTTATTTATATTTAAAAATGAGAATTAATAAATGTGTAGAAAGTTCTGACATCTTAAATGTGTTCTTCATCAATCATTCTTTTTCCCTTAAACATAATTTATGGCTTAAAATGCTTTATTGAATCTTTTACTAGCAATATCACATTAAAACTTGGTCTCTCTTGAGCTCCGTTTGGTTAAGAAAGGTTTAAGTATCTTCGGTGCCATCACAAGGTAAGTATGTTAAGGAAAATTTCTCTTTTTAAGCAAGTAAACAGCAATATATCTGCATTTATTTCAGTAGTAAAACTTCCAAACCCATATTTGACTGCTGCTTTTTTAAAATGAACTGCACAAAAACAAACGGAGCAAAATTTAAAAACTACATTCTGCTTTCTTTTATTTTTTTTAAGACTTCTTTTGGACTGGTATATAAGCAAAATGTTTTTGGTGTAGAAATATTTTGATAATCTTTTTGCAGAAAAAATGCTCTGCAGTTTCTTCTTTAATGCTTTCTTTTATATCTAATTCCAGTGCTAAATGTGTGTAGATTGCACAAGAGCAGGTTAGTCTTGTAACTGTGCCTCTGACGACTTCGAAGTCCAACTACTAAATTGTAAAAATCAGATCAAATAGATGCTATGTTGTTAGCCTTTGGTTTTTTTCTTGTTCTTTGTATTAAAATTGTTGCTGTACTTAACAGATGAAAGTTTTTAAATTTAGCAAATGATAGGCTACAGGCAAAGGAAAATTATGGTTTCATTTGGCTTAGATAAAATGTAAGGCAAAATGATTCTGTAGACAAGTGTAAATAAAACCTGTGAGTCAACTGTGCAGTGAGTGCTTTCTCTTGGAAACATAAGCAAATCTTTCTTTATAACATACACTAACGGATTATTTTGTTGTTGTTGTTCTCTGTTACTGCAGTGCAAGAAGGGCAGTATGTGCACTTACCTGGCCATAGGTATCATGAATTTTCAGATTGTTTCAGTTCTTTAAGTACTGAAAATATTTTTGGATTTAAACAGCAGCACGTTTAAAATGAGCTTTTACGAAACTTCAAGGTATTTTCTTCTGTATGTGTTCCATATTCAGAAAGTTTTTAGAGGAAGCAGTATGTTTAAATTATTTTGATTGCTACATTTTAAAATACAAAGGCACAGTAACTATGGTAGTCTTTGCAAACCTGTTATAAATGACACAAAATTACCTCTTTTTAGTTACTGCATCGGCAAATAAATTAGAACCAAGCTATTAGAACTAAACATGGTCCACCTCTGATAAGACACAAAGAGCTAGATTAAGCTCAGGCAGTAAAAAGGTGGGGGCTTGGGGGGGTAGAATTATCTCCAGTGGCCTAGCAGTAAATTTTTCTATTTCATTAGAAAATACTTCCTTTGCCCTCAGTTTAGCCATTGGTGTCAGATAAATCGGTGCCTATAGAAGTAAACAGGTATTTCTGTGCAGCTTTAGCAAAGATCAATGAAATTTGTCATGGCCAAGGAGGAAGGCTTGATTAGGTTTAGGGCTAATGTGCTTTTCTAAGAAAAATTAAATACATTTGTGAATAGTAATGGTGGTTTTGTGTAAGAATTCTTCAGTAGTAATTGAAAACTAGAAAGTGAGTCTAAATATAAGCAGACTAGACTTTATATAAATTTGGCAACAGAGTAAAATCCACTGCTGAAAAATTACTATCTTCAGGTAGATAGTCAATTAACAATAAAAAGCATTAAAATGTACATGTTGGTACATCTTAAAACAAGATTGCTTCATTTCCACACAAGGTAACTGACTTCTGTACACTGTTGTTTCGTACAAGCAACTGTGATGAACCACTGGAGATTAAATAGTTGCTGTGTTCGATCATACTTCTCACTAGCCCCTCAAACTTAAATTTAGTTACAATGAACATCCTTTTCAGTGCATTAGGCATTTGCTCGTTTGCCATGCCTTATTCTTTTGGGGGATTTTTGGGGGGTGCGGGGGTAGCATGTTGCAGCATGGGCTTGTATTGATGATTAGCAGGCCAATGTTTCAAATTACAGCATTTTAAATGCAATGGCACTATCATCACTCCACCTTTAGGGAATAATGAGCGTAAATAACATTTCAAGAGTAATGAAAAATACTAACATTGTTGAAGACGCGTACTTGAAACCTTTCTAATTTCAATGTAGCACTGCTAGACAAATGTTGAAAAACAAATACCAAGTAGGGCAGGATAACACTTTAAATAGTAATAGTGTATTGTGCCTTTCATCCAGGTATCAGAAAAAGCTTTTTAAAAATAAATTTTGAAAATCGAGAGCTGACCAGTGGAGTTTGGCATTCCCGGGATGGTACAGGATGTGAACGGAGGGGTTGGGAGCAGAAGTTTCATTCTCTGTAACCGCCTCACTTTAACTGGTAACCATAACAATTTAATGTCATCTTCCATTAGGAAAGACTTAATGCTCGAGTCCTTTTCAAGTCAGTTATCAACTGAGTTACTAAGATCCTAGAGTGAATATTCTTACGCAGTGTGAAAAGATACTGTAAATGGGAAAAAAAGTTTGACTGAAGCCGATGGAAGTTTTAAGGGGCAGGCTAGCCCCACATCCCCTCCAGTCCCAGTAATGCACCCTTCACTCTTCTCAGTTAACGGCAACGCCTCGCGATCGACCTGTCTTTACAATTCATTCCTGTTTGAGGAGTTTCTCTGCCTGGGATGCTACCTCTGCTTGAGTCTATGCTATAGCTTTCACGTGCTTTTGGGGAAGAAACTCTGCAGCTAATGTTTTTAATCGATTCCATAGTTTGTTCTTGAAGCATGAATCAGAAGGTGTCACTGGTCATAGAACTTCGTCTGGAATTCGTTTAAGACAAAGGATTTTTTTTGTTCTTTAATCATAAATAACAGCTAATAGGGTGTTTGTTTTGGGTTGGGTTTTTTGTTGTTGGTTTTTTTCTAAGTGTGAAAGTATAGATATTTTTGCAAACTTTTCCAAAATTTGGACAAGAAAGCAACAAGAGGGCGTAATGCTCCTGTAACAGCTCAATTACGACAACAGCTTTGAGCAAAGTCCTGCACAATTTACTAACTTTACCTATCCTCCCATTATGAAAATGAGTAGTATTTTTATCGGAAAAAGAGGTTGCTTACACATGCATTTAAAAAAAAAAGTCTGTAGAGTGCTTCATGCTTAGTTTGGAAAATGGAACTAATAAATTCATCCTTTCTCATAGGCTGGTTATGGACCCCATCCAGAAATAACATACAACTAAGCTAAGAGGGAACACTCCCATTGTAAAACCGCTGGGCACAAATATCAAGCACAGTACCAAATGATGGCACAAAAACTTTCCAAATGTCGGACGGGGGACACAGAAGATGTGTGCTGAACTCACAGTAGCTCCAAATCAATGAATCGATTTCAGAATCGGAGAGAAAGGAGGGGAAAAATTGGGGAGAGGAGGGGAAAGGATATTTTCCCCTCGTACTTTTTCCAGACTTTCTACTGGAAGCAGTGTACGTCCGAGTTTAGTGTGAATATTGTTTCTAGCATTGGACTTATTTTGCAAATCCTGCTGTATATCTGCAAGATTAAAAAGTCTGGATTCCTTAATCTAAGGACAGATTGCTGTACATGTTCTAGAAAGTAGAGAATTAACAAAGAAGCCACAGCTCAATGATTTGTAAAGCAAGCCATAACTTCTAATATGGTTGTTTATGAGAAATGTGGCTCTTCCCATTTCATGATTTAGCCTGTGCACACTTGGTTGTACAAAGTAAAACCTGAGCAGGGCAGTATTTTAAACTGGACTTTGTTAATAACAGTTTTAATAACAGTTTTAACCCATAGAACTTAAAACTTCTTAAAACTGTTAACTCTGCTTTCACAGGAAAAAAGAGTTAAATCTGTAGCGGTAGCTGACTATATAAAGCAAGATTAGAAATTCCTCATAAGCAAGGAAATTCCAGCCAGCACGGGTTCATGGAAGGCAG